TTTTCTTTGAATTAAGTATCTCATTTATTTTTTTTTTAATTTTTACACCTGATACTAACTATTATTAAAATACTTGCAATGTTTTTTAAATATTTTTGTATTCTGTAGCATTTTGCAAGATTTTGAAATAAAAGAAATAGTTTAAATAATAAGTAACTAGTTTTGTTTTCTTCATTGGTCCCCAGCCTAAACTTAAATTTGTCTTTATTTCCAAGATTAAGTTTTGATAGATATAATAATTTAATAAATATTTCACTCGTTGTCTACAATATTCGACTCGATAGTGGAGTTGGTAAGCATCTGGTATTCATTTTTGGTCAGGAGACAACAATGGTTGTAATTATATAGTAAAAATGGTTTACTCTCTACAGGAAAGAATCGAAATAATTATCCTTCATGAAGAGGTTTGAAAATGCGCACAAAGGGCAACATTTAAATAAAAGGCATCCTCATTGTAATGTAAGTCATAGGTATGTATTAATATGGATTCCTGATTGGTGTGCTTTGAGCATCAGGAAGAATATCAGCCACTATGTGAAATGTGTTTAAGTTATAAATTTGTAAAAAAAAAAATTGAATTGGTTGTTATAGTAATTGTGATTTTATGGATGGATGTTTAATAAAGTAAGTTGGGTACCATCCAAATTGAGAGGAGGATCAAAAGTTTCAACGATCCTCAAAATTAAACAAATTTAGTATTAAAATTGTTTTCTTGGTACCAAGAAACAAATTATGATATTCAGAAATTCACAGTGAAGATTAATCATTATATATAATGTTCTAATAAATGGATATTTTGAAAATCTGATTATTATTGGATACAGATTTTGAAAGAAGTAAATAGTATAGCACTAATTGAACGTATCAAAGGAAAATAAATCCAAAAGATAAGTACGTTTGAATTGATAAGTTATTTGACAGTGAAGTAATTTTCAAAGTTGTCATTGATAATGACATACTTTACAATCTACAAGTTTTAAAGGCATTCAAATCAACAGAGAATACCAGCTGGGAGCAGAGCAATTACAGAAATTCGGAAGAAGATTGAGAACATATTTTTTTTTATTATTGTTATCAGTTTTAACTTATTTATAAAATTTCAGAGAGAGAAGCACACCCTCAGGAGTATTGTTCCTAGTGCTCAGAGCTACGCCGGGGCGGAAATTCATATCAGTATATACTTCATTAGGTAGTAAAGGTTTTGGAAACTGGTTCGGTGAAAAATAGAAAAAGAAATAACCGACGAGTACTAAATAAAGAAGCTCTAATTGAGGTTTTGGGAACATTTGATGTCGTACCAACTAGCTCCGTACTAATAGTAGCAGAACAGACGGGAATATCACGCGAGACTGTAAGAAGAGCACTGAAAATGCATAAATTTCATCCCTATAAAATGCAGATACTTCAAGAGCTCTACGAAGATGATTTTGATAAAAAAATAGAGTTTTGTAAATCCATGTCTCATCAAGTCAACGCCAACCCCAATATTCTGCTGAATATCTGTTTCAGTGATGAATCTTCATAATTTTTTCTAAATGACAATGTTATTAAACACAAATTTTAGTAATGGAGTGACGGAACACCCGCAAATTATTTAAGAAGGGCGTACGCAATTTTTGGTTTTTTATTTAATGAATAAAACTTGCCAGGCAATCTGTCGCTTAATATGCTTGAAGAGATTATTGATCCTCTTATAAACTCACGAGCTAGAAACAAACTGATGCAGAAGGTAATTTAGTTTTATAGGAGCATATGTTACATTTCCAGCAGGACGCTGCTACACCTCATTTTTTCTTCTCGTCTGACAGAGATTTCCAGGCCCTTGGATTAGCAGAAAGGGAGCAATTAAATGGCCCCCAAGATCACCTGATTTAACTCCCTTAGACTTTTTCTTTGAAACACAACCAGCTGATATTGATGATCTTAAAAGGCGAATTATAGAAGCATGCCGGTCAATTTCCAGTAAAAGTTTTCCAAAATGTTAGAGAGGAGTTGGGAAACAGACTTTTTACCGTTTACAGTAGAACGGACAACATTTTGAACAGATTTTAAAATAGTGTACAAGTAGATCTTATGTGTTCTATGTTTAAAATTTCTTGTGCAAATTAAAAGTTATTTATTTTGTAAAAGTCACCTTCCCAAAAAAATAAAAAGTTAAACGTGTAGACTTGATATTCCTTCTCTTATTCAACTCGATAGAATAATTTTTGTTTAATAAATAACTAATAAATTAGGTTACCATTGGAAAGAGAATTAAACGCTCTTTAAAATGATGTGCCTCTTGATCTATTTTTCCATTTAAGATTTAAAGGGTAACAACTACCCCTCCTAGGAGGTTGAGCTACAAGTGTTAAAAGTATTTATTGTAGGTGTCCTCCTTAAAAATAAAATTGACGCGTTTTTGCGATTTTTTCCATTATTTAATGGATGAAAGATATTTAGTTTGGGAAGTTTTCGATGTCACCCTGTATGTATGTCACTTGTAATATAATAAGCACTTGTAAAGAAATAAATTAATATAAAAATTTAAATAGTATCTGAAGGTTCTTTTAATTGAAGACTAATTGTTATGAATTTATAAATTATTTTTAAACTTTCAATATATTTTTACGTACCTATAAGTGAGCATTGTATTTTATTTATCTATGATATGATAAATGTTTTTTTAATGCCTATGTTGTATTCAACTGATCTTATGAAATTTAGTTAGTTATTAATATAAAACTAATTTTGTAACCTATCTTATGTCATCGTAAAATGATCTAAAGGGTGTTTCAAAAACATTGGTCATAAATTATACTACGTATTCTTGGGTCAAAAATAAGTCGATTAAACCGTACTTATCTATATACAAAAGTATATACAAAAGTGCATCCAAAAATAGTTACAGGGTGTATAAGATAAAAATTTAAATTAATTTTTTTAACGTTGCTCTTAAACCTTCTGACATTTTTTCATGAAATTTTATATGACGTGTTGGAATACCATGACTAACAAAATTGAGGTAGAGGCAATATTTTTTTTTATTTTTGTAGGATTTTGGAGGGTGTCCTCCCTTTTTCTACTCAACTTTTTTGTAATATAAAATTTTATTAAAACTCGAACTCTACTAAAATGCAACATCTATTTAGAAACTTTTTTGTCTCCTAGTATTTGTTTGTAAAATGTTTGGTTTAGACGATACAGCCACTTAAAATGACATCTTAAAAATATTCAATGTAAACTATACATATTATCGTCGCATTCCAAAGAAAACCACGTAACTCCATATTTTTTCGAAAATGAGGTTTTGGTGCCATCTGTTGCATAACTATATAATCTTGCAACTATCAAAATATCTAAGTCCAAATGCCAAGCGTTAATATTTAAAAACTTTAAAAGAAATCTACTTATCTCCAGTGGTTTCGAAGCGTCCGCGGAAATTTACGTAAATCCTCATGTTTAACGTAAACAGCAAACGATGCACGTGTTTACAAGTTTGTGATTAGTTTTTGATATAATTAGTGGGAAAAAAGTGTTATAATAGTACAGTACCTGATTTTATGAAACGGTAAGTATCAACGAAAAGTTGAATTGTTAAGATATTTTTAAGAAAATTCCACACCTGTAATTTTGAACCAATCAAAATACGTGTTTTTGACAGATCACCATGGCAACGAAGGTATTTTAGTGAAAATTTTTTTCTCGTGGGGTACCCAACAGCGAATTATACTGGAAATTTTTTGGCGTTTACAATAACAGATCATTTTTGACAGACTGGTTTTTATTTGTTCACATAATTGGTTTAGTTCTGATACATTTTAGTTACAATGCTAAGGTGTTTTCTATATTCTTCGGCCACTTCTTTTCTTCTTAATGGCGAAAATGCAGGACTTTAGATAATTTGAATTATGTGTCTATGTCTAATAAAATATATATAATATTTAGACACTAATTTATTCACCTTTTTCCCATTCAGCACTTTGAATTTTGCGTAGTTTAGGTGCAAATATTCGTGGACAATTCGGAACCAATTTTCGTTTTTCAAGTTGGAGCCACAATCCTCTATTAATTCGAGTAAGTAAGTCATGGTGCAATGATTGATCATTACATCAGACAATTTCACGCATATTTTGCATAGCGTATGATTTTCAAATCGATTCATTTTTAAACAAATAGGTAATTTTGTTGGTTTTACTTGCTGTGCAATATTCTTTATCGCAACAAAACGCGAGTTATTTAATGTTTTGAACTGTCAAAATACAATGATCACAGCCTCCTACGATTGATGCTTGCTGACGCTGGTTATGAATTTCATACCATTTTAAAGCGCTCATAACGAATGTTAATAAAAACGTAGAATAACAATTTTCTACCACTTGTAGTTATTCAAAACTTACGTAAAATTAAAGAATATACTATTTTCTATTTTCAAATGGTATTCCCATGCAACTACAATGAGTAGAAATAAGCAATTTGAAGGCGTAAATAATTGCAGCAAAACATTTTTTTACGTCGGGCCGCTTGACAACTTCAAAACTGAAATTATATTCGAGGTTAGGGTCTCACTTAGTTACCATGACAACTCAACAATCAAGGCGACAACACCTTTTATGTTTCACTGGTGACTTGGAGAAAATAATTTGCATTGTTGAGAAACGAAAACTAAATTTTAAAAATATTTAATTTTCAACCATAATTCGGCGTGGAATTTTCTTACCGAATACCACGCGAGGTCAAATTAATATCAGGAAATAATTTGACCTCTAGTGGTATTACTAGTGAAAATATGGTAAAAATAATTCTCACAAAAATTATTGCTTGAGATACGCAATTTTCGTTTTAGATAGTGAGGGTCCAAAAGTATGGAGTTAAGCGTTTTTCCTCGATTTTTTGCCTATACTGTTATTAGATTATAGGATTGAATGGATTTAAATAAAAAATATAAATAATATTTTCTTTATTTCCAGGACCAGGAATGTTTTCAAGAGTGAGAAGGCTCGTTGCTATGGCTGTAAATAATGTCGTCCCAGAAAACTATTGCTAAAAATGCCGTTGAAGAAGAGGTGTTTTTGGAAACTATCAATACCCAACTGCACAATGATAATGTGGAATTCTATGAAGCTGATGAGGAAGGTATACTAAGTCCAATACCAGCACCTTCAGATAAAACAAACGGTAATTATATTGAGAACGTCCAAGGAATGAACAAATTATTGAGGAAGCTATCAATAACATAGGCGATCAAGAAACTGAGGAGGGTATTGTCAACAGAATAGAAGATAATTTTGAACGTACTATTGAAAAGGCCAAAAGAAACCAAGGACAAGGAACAGAATAAGAAAATCTTGAACAAGTCGAAAATTTCAACGGAAAGATTAATGTAGAAGCCAATGCAAGCACAGATGTAAGAACTAAAGAAGAACCTGCTAAATTAAATGACCAAGGAGCTGTAGTTGAAGAAGAAATAAAGCCCATAAGCAAAACAAAACGAACCAAGAAGAATAATGAGGCAAGCACAAGCAGAGAATTAAAAGGGAAAGAAGAAACTGCTGATTCACCTGATCAAGAACAAGAATATAATGAACCTGCAGAATTACATAACTTAATCAAAAGAAAACAAGCTAGAAAACATGATGTAAACCCTTCCTCTTGGTTCCAAAATATTAATAAAATCAATCGTGAAAAGGGCATAGAATACAGTGGTAAGAAAAAGCTGGAAAATGAATGGAACTATGATATCCCAAAAAACAAAAAGATATTAAAAACCCTTGCAGAATCAAAATAATATCAAAAAAGATTCAATGTAACATTGCCACAGAAGAATACAGACAGATTATTTTTAAATTATTTTGGGAACATATGAACTGGCAAGAAAGAAAAGTTTACAAACAAACTCTTGTTCGGGTTGAACCTGTTAAAAGGAGACGTGGAACAAATGAAAGTAGTAGAAGAAATAGTTCATTTAAGTATTTTTTAAAAGCTGATAATAAGGAAATAAGAGTATGTTAAAAAATGTTTTTAAATACGTTAGTCATGAAAGAATCAATTGTTTTGAACTGGGTAAGGAACGACAAAATCAAAGACGCTGAAAAAAATCCGCAAGATAAAAGGAGAGAAAGTAGAAATCAGCTTTTCAAAAATAGAAATGAAAATCTATATGAATTTTTTGAATCTCTTGCAAAGGTTGAGTCCCATTATTGTAGGTCATCGACATCAAAGCTTTATCTAGAGCCAATGTGGACCTCAACTAATGAACTTTATAGATTTTATAAAGAAAACTACTGCGTAGAAAACCAAAAAGAATCAGTTTCCAGAACTGTTTTTTTTAATGAATTTTGTAAGAAAAATTACTCGATTTACATCCCAAAAAAAGACCTTTGCGACAAGTGTATTGCGTTCAAAACGAAAAACATAACTGAAGAAGAGTACAATTTACACCAACAAATGAAAAGAGAAGCAAGGGATGCGAAAGAAAAAGACAAAGAAACAGGAGTTGCTGTATTTGCCATGGATCTTCAAGCTGTTCTGCTCTCACCTAAATCAACAGTAAGCTCGATGTACTATAAGACGAAATTGATAGTCCATAACTTTACCTTATTGGACTTAAAAACACGCGAAGGTTACTGCTTTTTATGGAACGAGTCAGATGGTGGGCTCACATCAAACGAATTTTCCTCCATATTAGTGTATTTTTTGGAAAATCACGTGATTCCTTTTTTGCCTGATGACAAAAAAGGAATTGTACTTATCAGCGATGGTTGTAGTGGACAAAATAGAAACTCGACATTATCAAATAGCCTAGTAAATTTAGCAATGATCCACAAAGTTACCATAATGCAAAAGTATCTCGAAAAAGGACACACTCAATTGGAGGTGGACAACATGCATTCCTGCATAGAGAAAAGAGTTCGCAACAGAGTAATTAACGTATCTGCAGACTATGTACATGCCTGTAGAATCGCAAGAAGAGAAAAACCTTATAAAGTAAAATACCTAACTTTTGACTTTTTTAAAAAATACAACGAACTAAAATTTTATAAATCTATTAGACCAGGAAGAAACACAGTAAATCAGATCCGTGCTCTAAGTCTAAAGTACGAAATGAACGGGAAAATATCATTTAAACTCCGACATCCTGATCCCTGGGAGAATTTAAACCAGAGAAGCCAGTCACTTATCCCTCGCCCAATAAGTGAAATTCAACCACTCTTTAAAGAAAAAAGGAAAATTAAGGCTGACAAATATCAACATCTTCAGATTTTAAAACAAAGCCTACTTTCAGACTATCACGCCTTTTATGATACCCTTGCTTATGAATAAAAAAGTTGTTACTTTATTATTGTTCAACATATTTTTGAAATACTGTTTAAAATGTTTAAAGATTTGTTTTGTTTTATAAATATTACAGTTTATGTAGGTAGCTACTTGACATTGTTTTTCGTGTTTTATTTATATCATTATTTTGTTCTTATTCCTTTTAAGAGATTATGTACTAAAAAGAATATCATCTCACAACTCAGTAAATTGCGTATCTCCGTTTTTATAAATCCGAAATTAACGTATCTCCAATTACATTTTTATTTCAAAAAATATTTAATTTTTGATGTATTTCTTTATTACCTATTATCCAAAATTGGAATTTAAAAACAAAGAATTAAAGTATTACGCAGTTTTTAGTGTCTGGTGTAAAATTTACAATTCTGGAGTTACGTAATTTTCTTCTGAAGGTGACTATATGCAAAAATATCAAAATTTGATTTTCATTGTTAAAACTATGTAGTAAGTGTATACAGGAGGAGAATGTAATTTTGAACACCTGTTAAATTAAATTTTTTTATTTTGATGACATTAGTTTGTAATTTAAAAATAAACTTGATTTTGATATTTTTCATACGTAGAATTTCAATTGAATATTTTTAAGTTGTCATTTCAAATAGCTGTATCGTCTAAACTAAACTTTTTACAGACAAATACTAGGAGACAAAAAAGTTTCCAAATGGATGTTGCATTCCAGTGGAGTTTCACTTTTAATTAAATTTTATACTACAAGAAAGTTGAGTGGAGAAAAGAGCGGTGACCCCCTCCAAAAACCTATAAAAATCAAGAAACAAATATCGCTTCTTCCTCGGTATTATTAGTCATGGTATCCTAATACGTCATATAAAATTTCATGAAAAAATGCCGAAAGGTTTAAGAGCAACGTTAAAAAAATTCAATTAAATTTTTATCTTATACACCCTGTAACTATTTTTGAGTGCACTTTTGTATATAGTTAAGTACGGTTTAATCGGCCTATTTTTGACCCAAGAATATGTAGTATAATTTATGACCAATCTTTTGAAACACCCTGTATATTTATGTATAAGTTACCCTTTACCGCCATCGCAAATAATTAGCCGCCTCTCGCCGCACTAACTGTACTTAAATTGTCTCAACTAAGACACAATCTGGTTTAAAATTATAGCCAAAAGGCAGAGTTCAGTTTCTGTTCTTCCACTCAACCGTTAAAACTAAAACTAACTAGAATATTTCAAAAAAAGTAAAAATACCAAAAAGTTAATATTATTAATAAACCTTAAGAAGGGTAACCTATTATAATAATATTAATTAACCGTAAAATATTCTATTATATACCAGAAACAGCCAACATCCAAAACCCAATACTTAAATTTTTTTAATTATTTAACAACGAAGAGTGTACCATTCATTAAATCTCGTTTTACATAATTTTTTAACCTAATATTGTTTAAACTGAGATAATGCATGGGTAAGAAGCCAAGATACGTAATAAGTGAAAGATCCCTGAAATAGATGAGTTTTGTGAAGTGGTGGTGTGAGTTTGGATTTAAACCGTATATTTATATTATGTACATCACATCGAAAAGATATTTTATTATATAAGTAAGGAGGTGTTGCAGAATTTAAAATATTTTGAAAGAACGAGCATGCGTGTAATGCTCGTCTCTCAGCCATATTGAGCCAGCCTAATTCTTTTAAATGAGCGGAAACACGATCTCTTCTGTTCAAGCCACAAACAAAACGTACACATGAATTTTGAATTTTTTGTAACCTCTTTTTATCACTGTTTAATAAGGATGGTCCGTAAATTACGTCTCCGTAGTTTGCATGTGATAAAACCAGTGAGTCGCACAGCATTATTTTAGTTTTTTTATTAAGTAAACTCTTATTAGAGTATAATAATTTTAAACTGCAATAAGACCTTTTTGTAATGATTGATATATGGGATGAAAATCGTAGTGAGTTGTCTATATGTATACCTAGGTTTTTGCAGAGGAATGCAGCATTAAGAGATCTCCATTTAAGCTAATATTTACATTATTAAGGTTACGTTTTCTTGCAACGGGTCGGCCAAAAAGTTGAACTATTGATTTGGATGGATTTATGCTTAGACAGTGCTTATCAGATAAATGAACGAGTGACAAAATGTCATCATTGATCTTATTACAAGCATCCTGAATATTTTTCTCTTCAAAAGAGTAATAGAACTGCGTATCATCTGCATAAGTGTGAATCTGACAGTTTTGAAGAGCAGAAGGTAATTGAGAAGCATACATGACAAATAAAAGTGGACCTAGTATTGACCCCTGGGGAACACCAGAATTAATAAAAGAAAAATCAGACGAGTTTTGTTTTATGACATTTGCCTGGCATCGATGGTTTAGATAACTTTTGAAGAAATTAATAGAATTATACGTAAATCCAAAAAAGTGCAAGGGAGCCAAAAGAAGTGAATGATTAATGAGGTCAAAAGCTTTCGAGTAATCAAGAAGAATTAAAATGGTCAACAGATTATTATCACATGCTCTGTGAATGTCATCAGTAACTTTAAGTAATGCTGTGGTACAGCTAAAGCCACTGCGAAAACTAGACTGACTCAAAGGAAGTAGATTATAAGTGCATAAATATTTTCTAATTTGTTTGTCTAGAATTTTTTCAAATACTTTGGGTATGCAACATAAAACGCTTGTGGGTCGTAGATCAGAATATGACTCAGGAGATGATTTCTTGGGAAGAGGAATGACATATGATTTCTTCCAAAGGTCAGGAAAACAAGCATTTATTAGAATAAAATTAAATATATGAGTTATGTAAGGGATAATTAAAGGACAACAATATAATAATATCTTGATATTAATTTTGTCCACACCCACGGCTTGTGTTTTTATTGATAACATTTGTTTGTAACATTCCTCATCGGATATATGACAAAATGAAAAATTTTCTTTATTTAGAATTGTAGTGTTTTGATAAAATTGTAGTAGATCATCATCAGATACTTTATTAGAATTAGTAATATTAATGAAGTATTTATTAATTTCTTGAACATTGCATAAATTCTCAGGTATATCTATTACTGGTTTACTGTGTACATCAAGTTTTTTTAATTCCTTCCAGATGTTGTTACGTTTTTGATTTCGAAGTTGAAATTCAAGATAAGCTTTTTTCTCTAATCTAATAGTTTTGTTGGTTAAATTTCGTAGGTCTTTATAGTAATTATAGTAAGCTACTTGTTGAGTTCTTTTAAATTTATTTAGTGCTTTGCCACGTAGGGACATTATTAGTTTTAAGTTCGCAGTAAGCCACGGAGCTTTATTTTTAGTGACTTTAATAGTTTTTAAAGGAGCGCATGCTTATTAAACAGTTGCACTATTGTGTTTGTAAAATAATTAACCTTGTCATAGACAGTATTTAATTGTTAGATATATTCAATGTTTGCATTAGACAGGTCTAGAGTAAAATTTTCATTAGAAAATTGAGAGAAATCCCTGTAGGTGTACATTTTAGGTACAGCTTTAATCGTTTTTATATCAAAAGGAACACGATACAAGGTGATGATTAGTAAAACTTGGACAATCGGTAACGGAAGTATTATCACAATTAATCCCATGAGAACAAAATATCAAATCTAGTAGGGTACACGAACTAGAGGTTATGTGAGTTGGTTGATCTACGACTTGTTTCAAATTAAAAATATTAAGTATATTTTGTAATGTTACAAATGAAGTATTTCCTGTATCAAGGCAATCTATATTTAAATCGCCAGCAAAAATTAGGTTGTCCTATGTTGGGGCAATTGTATTAAGAACATCCTCAAGAACAGTCAAGAAAACAGAAGATGAATAATTAGGTGGTTTGTATAGGGTTCCGACAGCATAAGATACTTTATTTATATAAAAACAAATCCAAATCTGTTCTGTTTTATTAGTTGATAAGTTTCTAATTTGCTTAGCATTAAAAATATCTTTTATATACAAAGCCACACCCCCACCTCTACGATCATCATTTCTATCTCTACGAAATAACTTATATCCTGGAAAATCAATAATATCACTAATAATATTCGCATTTAGCCAAGTTTCAGAAACTGCTATAATATCGTATTTGTCACATACAGTGCGTTTGAATTCAGCAAAATTACTTGTAATGCATTTATATGACATACTTTGAATTTGTTCATTTTAAAAAATAAATGGTAATTGCATATTAAAAGAAATAACACTTTAAAACTAATCCTATTTCTAGATACACAATAAACTCATAAAAATTAATTAATTTGATTTACAATGGCAATATTCCATAGAAATATATAGGGGAGATAAAATAATTATATTTATTTTGACGTTGTTGGATGCCTACGAAGTGACATAGTATATGCGCTTTTTGTGTTCTTATTTTCTTTCAATTTCTTCGTGGATCTTCTTTTATCGGCTTTTGGTGATTTACCATTTCCTTTACGTTTTTTTGTTTTTATTTCTTGATTGGTGTGTATTGCTTCCTCACTTGAACTTATTTCTGAACTTTCTGATAAATCGGTGTAGCTTGATTCCTCTGAGCCAATCTCGATATTTTGATGTGGATGTTTTTCAAGCTCGTTTAGGGTATAAGTTTGACCTTCAATTTCCAATTTTTGCCCCTTGATTCTGCAGATCTTATTATCTTTTTTAGCTTCTTTTAAATGAAATACTAACTTCTTGTTTATTTCTCGATCATCCGGGCACAAATCGTTCAAAATTGATATTTTCTTTCCCTTAAGTTTTATAATATTTTAAAGATTAAGGGTCGGTCTTTTCACCTTCAGATAAAGTGTCAGGTAATTTTTATC